TGAACTGCAGATAACAGTCAGCTGAAGTGGCCTGCAGTACTGCACCCTAACCACTGCGCCACCTTGGCTCTTGGTATATACCAGTCAGTTTCTCAGTTGATATTATTATATGCATCTATTTTAACTTTAGTAGAACCAGTGACCTTCTTCAAACTTCAGTAACTATACACACGGAAAACAAAGAATATGCTTGATCCTAATCCTGTCTACCTATACTGTAATAAACGCATCTTTTCCTGGAAAGTATGAAATGGAAAATAGAAACATATATGGTTTAGTTGAAAGAACATATAAATCTATATATGTATATACATATACTATTAAAATTATAAATTTTAATAGTAAACTAAAATAGATTAATTTATAGAATGATCCAAAATCTGGAACCCATAATTCCTGAGAAATGAAAATTGGAAAAGTTGTGGCTGCTCCAGTTTTGCCAGGCTGCTGCTGTGGTGCTGGGCTGCTGAAGTAGTCATATGGTCATAATGTTCAAAGTTCCATAACAGTTTCCCAGCCATTCTACAATCAATTACTCCTTCCCCCATGAAAAGCAGCCTGCCCGGGGGGGGGGGGGGGGGGGGAGAGAAGGAAGGAAGGAAAATTCCTCATGCTCCCTGGCAGCTTCCTACAAGAAAACTCAATAGGAAAGTCAGCAGGAAATCAGAAGTTGCTCCCACTACTTTTGCCTGCCTTCCCATTCTGTTTCTCTGGTGAGGAAGTATCTGTGAAATGATAATCAAAACAAGGCATGGGGTGTCTAGTATAGTCTAATTATCATATAATGGGAGCTTTCAAATCATACTGAGCTTTTTAACTGGGTTTAGTGAGAGTGAATTACAATGCATGTTTCTCATTGTTCTTCATGCTTATAACTGTTTACATGCAGCTAATGAAAATACAACAGTCAATGTTTGGTTCACATTATTTTGAATTGGTTACATGTTTTACAAATTCTATTTCAGTTCAGGTTTAGCAAATATTTTCATATTATAGTTACAATTATTTTCTAGTACAAGGAAAAAAATAAGACAGTATCTTCATTGGTATGGAGCTGTAGTTGGGTTTATTTATTTTTTGTTTGGTCAATTTGTTTTAAAATCAATAGTCTCTATTTTACTGAATTCACATGAAAGAATCTTCTTGTTTATACCTTAAGCTTTAACATGGAAAATGTTCAGTAAAGACTCAACTATCTTCAATCATTCAATCCAAACCATAACCAATAAATCTTCAATACAATCAATACTAATTTCCTAATAAGGAAACTTAATAAGGATCATGGAAGTTAAAGGCCCCAAATCTGGAGGAATACAGGTTAGAAAAGGCTAACTAAGTAAAAAAAATCTTCTTAGCAATCCTTAGCATAAATATTTATAATTTCTTTAATACTACTGAAAGAGCTGTGGCTGCTGTTTTGGTAATATATGAAACACAGAACATATTCAGGGACATGTGACTGGAAGCATGAGCCCCAAAATATAAACTGTTTTAAAGGAATAAATAACAGTAATGCCACACTAAATCATACTTGTGTTTTGCTGTTTTACACAAATGAAGAAAAGGTTAAATAGCAAAGCACTGTTTCCCATTTTACAGTTTAATGAACTCACCCCATGTGGTGGATAGGAGATCCAGCCCAGCTCTCCTTGAATTGCTTTTGAATCTAGCAGATTAACTGTGAAAAGAAGACAAAATAAAGAGGAATGAATTTAATCTGTGTTCAGTTATAGTCGTTTGTTGTTGTTTTTTAAAAGGCTTGATTGGTTGGTTTTGAATTAAATTATTCCAAGTGCAGAAAAAGCAGAGCAACAGATGTACCTTCAATTAATTTCCACAACATTGAAAAAAGAAATGCACCAGCTTTTCACAATCCAGCTGCATTTCTACATCCAGCCCCTCAAAAAGTTTGTTCAATAAGTACTAGTAAATGCCAGTGAGTGATGTAACAAAATTCTGCTTTTTAAAAAAGTTTCACATGTCAAAAATTTAATTCACCATACATAACAATGATGAGACCATTATTATACACTCTTCTACTTCCTTTGCTGATATTTTTACTTACTAGTATATTTTAAAGAAAAAGTATTTTAAATCTGTATTTTCATTCTGAGATAACCTCAAGCTTTTAACTATCTTTTAATCTCCCAGCCACCAAGACCTGATATGCTATTTGAAAATGTAAGTTGCAAATTGAATTAAATACATTTTGAAGCTTTGAAATTAATGTTGAAAACAAATCCAGTAAAATCTGCCTTTTGTCAACGCGCCTTCTACACAAAGCACTTAAGCTTGTGCTATATTTCATAATAAGCATATTGATCTAAAAGCCTGTGAAAGATTCTTATGATTCTACAAAACATCATTATGATAGTTTTCATATTGGCAAAATTATTAAGAATTATTGGATGCTACATGAAAATGTAACATTCTAGCATGTAAAGATTTAGAATTCTTCTGGAGATTTATAGGTTTCTTCATTGTGCTTTAGGATTATAATTGTTCATACTACAGCAACTGAACTATCAGAATCCAACTGTACTAGTGAATAAAACAAAATTATTTCTGTACAAGGTTTCTAAATTAATTTTTGATTAATGTAAATATAAACTAAAATAAATAAAAAGTATAGCCTTTTCCTAATAGATAGAAATATTTATTATTATTACTACATATTAAATAAATATTATTTAATGCACACATTAAATTATCTTCTCCACGTTACAAATAGTAAGCATTATAATGTATTTGCTCCCCCCCAACAGTGTAAATCTTGTTTCACTAAAGCAAATTCTGTTCCAATCTGTCCAAAATACATTCCATTTGCATAATATCCTGCATGTAACATCAAATATGCACTGTAGATCTATGGCGCTTGATAAGTAGTTATATTATTGAGGTTTACAAAAATCTACATGACTTAGATGATAGCAAGAAGAAATTTTATCATATAGTGGTTGGCAAAATTTGCTAGTCAATTTGGTAGCCCTACATTAGTATGATTTATTACAGCATTTTAAGAAACCCTTAAAATGTATTAAAATATGCATTATTTATTTATTTGTTTTAGAACTCTGCCAATTCCAAATAATTCAGACTACAAATACAAACTTTAAATAAAATGTCTAAAACATGTTTCCTCAAAATCAAAGGGAATTTTTTTTTTACTGTGGTTTATTTTAAAAAAGACAAAAGATATAGTAAGTGGATAAAATCAGTATTTTTTAAAAAAATAAACTTTGCATGTTAGAATAAAATTATTGTTTTTTAATTAGAAAATGAATAAGAAATATATACAAGTAAAATAAAATATCAGCATATAACTGGAAATACACACACACACACACAAACACACACATCTTATCCTTTTAAGGAATATGTTTATTTATATTATTTCTTCTGTTGGAGGCTCAGGAAGATACAGCTTATATTTGTATCAAGAAAATTAAGGTTGCTGTTCCCATCACCTCCTATAAACTTGAAGGTACAACAATGTTAATTGTACAATTAAATTAGTTTCTCCTGACAACCTCAACAAAATCTTCAAAGCAATGTAAGAAGAAATGATTGATCGAAATGGACATAGTGTCACAATACAGTCCATCATTGTATTAAGAATCTGTCCACTTAAACTGTTCAATTAGAAGCAAAGTTTGGGGGCAACAAAGGGTTAACTTCAGCTGAAGTGCCTTTTAGATGAAGAAATATTTTTATAACCAATTTATATGAATTAAGAACAATAAGAAATGATTCAGAGCTATTTATTGTGTGAAGTTTATCACACAAAGAATCATAAAAGAACATTGGTAAAAAGTTCACTTTTAGTAAGTATACAATTTCCTTCTAATACAGGAACATTTAAGAAAAACCAATTTTTGAATTAATAAAAGAGTCTTATTATAGTTTTTCTTCCAGGCTGCTCCTGCTTCAGGTGCTGTTCTTGGCTATATATCTTCATTATGTGAAGTCTCTTCTAAGGTTTATACTCTAATTTTTTTTAATCTCAAAATGAAGACTTTTTATTGTTTCAATTTGTTGTTTACAAGTATGGCTGGAGGAGCAGGCTTTCAGGGATCTGTTGGTGCATGTATCTCTGCAGGCATTTCAGCAAAATGAAATGAAGTGAAGCCTGCCTCCCCAACACACACACAAACACACACACAAACAAAGGGACACAATGGAAACAGTTGAAGCAATTGTGAACACTCCCACATATCTTTCAAATATTTTGTAAAATATCTTAAACATTTTAAAAAGAGCATTTGGCATCTGCATAGACCATTCTAGATTGAATGTTTATAAGATATGAAAATGAACATCTCTCACTTCAAAGCACCCTAAAATTGCTAAAAAATGTCTATACCAAATAATTAAAATTTCTTAGGTAAGATCACTTGTTTTAAAAATCTGAAAAAGACACAGTTCTTTCCTCTCGCCTAATGCTTATATATCTACATCTATATGTTTTACATTAAGCTGAGGTCAAGTCTCAAGAACAATTACAAGTACAATTATCTGTATTTTTGGCTGTGGTTTTTTAATTTATCTAGTGGTAGTACAAAATGGTAAATGGAAAGTACACCAAGCTTTGCATATGTTGGGAAATGAATGAATTCTTTCCTTAAATGTTCTTTTCTTTCCTAGTAAAAAAAATACCAATTAAATTATGCATACTGGCAATCCACTGCTGTAAATCAGGGTGACTTTATACTTTCAATGTGAAATATGCAATTTCTGCACCACCATCATGAATAGTCAAATGATATTAAGTTTTCAGAGAATACTGACTGACAATTACAGAGAGTGAAAGGAGAGGATATAAAGGAGTCAGAGTAATGCAAGGATCCACCATTTCCAGGATTTTTCCATATGCCCAGACATTTGAAATATCAAACTATTTTGACTTCATGAAAAATGTATGATTTTCCCTCCTCACAGAAGATTCTGAAATGCTTTGACAATTTATTTTTCAACTTTACTCTTGGGATACAAGTATATTCCAAAATATACTTTCAACCAATACTGTTGACTATTAGCAACTGCGGACAGGAACAGAACACAAAAAGACCTGTTGGGAAATGGTTCTACAGTACAATACTTGTGGCAGGTCTTATTTATGTGAGATGAAATAATAGTAATAGAAATGAGCTCAGAAAATGCAGGGGATGTCTTCTGCAATTAATATTGCCATGAACACTTTAATAAAATACAATTCATATAGTAGAGATCCAACACTATGGAATGCTTATCCTGAATTAATTCTATTTTTGTTGTATCACCTGAAGTATAACTCAAATGATCTTATAATGTCATTCAATTATCCTGTGGCAAGTAAATGACTTAAAAACCATAAAACAGAGAGTCCTGGCTGACTCTAAAATTGTGTACCCATTTATAGACACAAACCCTGCAAACCTACATACCTATTTGATTATTTGGCAGTAAAGCCTGCCAGGCCAGTGGGACTTAATTGGAATAAACAGACATTGGAACAGGATGCAAATAGCTAGAGTGAAAATTACCCAATTTCCTTCTCCCTAAGGGAAAAAAAGAGGTTTACCCACAGTACAGAACATCAGGGTATTTACAGCCTGTTTCACCATACCAACAGACATACCAACTGGCTATTATTAACAGTGTCCTTTTCTAAAATTTTTGTTTCCAGCACATCCACCGCAAACTCAACTGTGACCAACTTCACTATTTAAGAAAAGCCACTGTTTAAAAGAAGCCACAGCCTCAACACCGGCTGATGTCCTGTTTATAAGCACGTCTCATTTGGAAACTTGAAATAAGAACAGCATATGACTGAAAACTTGGCTTCACTATGTATGGCATTTGCAAACATGTGTCCTTTTACAGTACTGAGAATTGCCCATCACTATCAAAGTGAATACGTAAGAAATTTAAAGCTATAGCTAAATTGAATTCACAGAAATGATTATAACATTCACCCAGCCATTATAAGGCAACAGCATATCTACCAACCTCTAATGCAAAGTAGGTCAGTTCAAAAAGAGAATTATCATTTTCTGCTATGACTAAATAAATAAAATTTTGATTGTCTGTATCCACTATTTTCATTAATTGGAAATTGGAAGCATCACAATCTGGAACATCAGTTGTTTGCACCATTAAACTTTGAAAACATGGTTTGTTTAAACTAAGATTAACAAAAAATAAACAATGCTAAGGTTGCAAGATCAGATCTTATGTTCATTAGAGTGTTCATGATTAAAATCAAGACAGAAAGAATGTACAGTTTTAAGAAACTGTTTTAAATTCAACTATCATTTAAAATATATGTACTCTGTACTGTATATTTCATGAAAAAAGTGAATTCTACATCTATACTCATATATTCTCTTATTGAGTTAGAGACAAAGTGTCTTTAAAAACAACAAAGGGAAAAAGCAACATAAGTGATTTTTAAAAAAAGTTCCAGAGTTTTCTCTATTGCAATGCTGCTATTGGTTTGGGGTGGGAGAGAAAAACATAACATATGGTGATCTCTTGTTTGTCCTTAGATAGCTTATGTCAACATGCAAATGCAAAAATTGTTTACATTAGATAAAAGTGTATAGATATGTTTCCTCTTTTGATATTTCACAGCCTTGAAGCTATGTGAAGCTTATAAATTATTATTCATCATTATTATTACTTATTATTAAGCAACAC